AGAAACGTATCAGGAACATCTTGCAAGTTACTTGACGAAGATGTTACAACGAATCAGGAACAGCCGGCACGTTACCTGAAGAAGAGTTTTCAACGTATCAGGAACGTCTCGCAAGTTATATACTTATATAAAGAAGATGTTCCAACGTATCAGGAACATCTGGCAAGTTACTTGAAGAAGATGTTACGACGTGTCAGGAACATCTTGCCACTTACTTGAAGAAGATGTTACAACGTAGCAGGCATGCCTTGCATGTTACTTGAAGAAGATATGACAACGTAATACAACGTATCAGGAACGTCGTGGAAGTTACTTGACGAAGAGGTGTCAACGTATCAGGAACGTCTTGCAAGTGACTTGACGGAGATGTTAGAACATATCAGGATAGTCTTGCAAGTTACTAGACGAAGACGTTACGCCGCATCAGGAACGTCTTGCAAGTTACTTCAAGAAGATGTTACAACGTATCAGGAACGTCTTGCAAGTCACTTGACAAAGATGTCACGACGTAGCAGGAAAGTCTTGCCTGTGTGTGCACAGGAACATGAACGTTATTACCCCACCCCACCCCACCGGTAACTGATCATGAAAGAATAGTGCAGTGCCCGTGTCTGCAGGACAGCAAGAAAGATGATGAGGTTGCCTGTGTCTGCACAGGAACATGAGCGTTATTACCCCACCCCACCCCACCCCACCCCACCGGCAACTGATCATGAGAGAGCAGTGCAGTGCCTGTGTCTGCAGGACAGCAAGAAAGATGATGAGGTTGCTGTGCCTGACTCCATGTCCCAGCCCCGAGTCCCCAAGTGTTACCCTAAAGGTATGATTCTCTGGTGCTCTAAGTGATCCACTTTTTTGGTGCTCTAAGTGATCCCATGGTGCTCTAAGGGATCCGGCGCTCTAAGTGATCCACTTTCCGGTGCTCTAAGTGATCCCTGAACCGCCTAAATTCTGCATTTTTTTTGGGTTAAAGATGGTTGATCCACAATGGATGGTGAAATCCCACGAAATCCCTTTTCTTTTTGGGTGAAGTCCCATGATTTCACATCAAGTCCAATTTTTTGTGTTTATGAAATATGAATCCCATTACATTTTAAATCACCATGGATATGATGAAATCCCATCGCATTAAATCATCATGAAGTCCCATCAAATCACCATGAAACATCCCATGAACTACCATCGAATCATGGATAATTACCCTCAACCCAGCCCATTAGAACCCCATAGATCCCCATGAAATCCTTCCAGAACTGATTGACAGACCCTCCTCGAGCCTCGGAGCCTGGCATCAACCCATCTTCAGCGGGTCCGGGCGCGCGGAGTTCAGGGCAGAAATGGGGAGATAGTAAGCACTTGATCATGGTTGACTAGGGTCTATGATTTGTAATGCACCGATTCACCCCTTTCCCCCAATAATCCCTTCCCCGTAATACAAAACCACCCCAAAATAATAAACACTTCAGGTAGTTTTTAGTATTAGGGTTGTATTTATTATTAGGGAACCTTATTTAAAAAAATTAAACATCAATAAGAAAAACTAGTTTGTTCGATTTCAAGCTCAGTTAAATTTCTTTATATTACGCGATTAAAATATTGCCAAAAATTGGATTTCGAAGCGGACCCTATTAATAAATTTAAACCCTTAAAAATAAAAACTATTTTGTTCGATTTCAAAACAAATTATATAAATTTTCTTTATGTAACGCGATGAAAATATTTCCAAAAATTGGATTTCGAAGCGGGCCCTATTAATAAATTAAAACCCTTAATAATAGAAACTATTTTGTTCATTTCAAAACCACTTAATTTTTTCTATATAACGCGATGAAAATATTGCCGAAAATTGGATTTCGAAGCGGACCCTATTAATCCATTAAAAGCCTTAATATGAAAAATAAAAATAAAAAATCAGACGGACCCTAATACTAAACATCCCGGTGTTAACTAGTTTTTATTATTAGGGGGCAAAACCCACAAATGGTAGCTTTATTTTTCATATTGTTTTCTAAAGGGGATAATTAAAAGTCAAATTGGCCAATCTGAATTTTTCCGAAATTAAAGATGGACCCTAGTTTTTAGTATTTGGGGGACGTTTAGTAATAGGGGGAAGGGGTTAATGGTAACATACTGAGAAATGCTAGAACCAAATGGGATTGTCATGGGAATATAGCCAACAATGTGGGAATAGAATTAGTTAATGGGATCCGAACGTAATGCATTGTAGTGATATATGATTTAATTCGAATTTAAATATTCTTGTTCGGGGGACCATTTAGGGAGTGTTTAAAATTAGAATGAGCAGCACACATGCATAGAAGCGGATACCTATATATAATTATATGTATAGTGCATAATCTTAAATAAACTGCAATTTTACATATTTGTAGCTATATTTCTTTATTTTAAAGGTAATTGTAAATTGTACAATAATTTGTTTAGTTTATATTTTTATTTGAATATGTATAATTATAATTTATTTATTTATTTTAAAAAATATACATATATATATATATATACATGAAATATATCATGCATACATGCACGCGCAGCTGTTCAGGACTGGGCAGCGTTTGGGCGGCTAGGCCTGGCCTGGAGTTCCTGCTTTTTCCAGCGTGGGGAACAGGTACAAACCTGGGCAAACAATGGGTATTTTTCATGGTTAATGATGGTGATTAATGGTGATTAATGGTGATTAAAACAATGGAAATCCCCTTAGAGAATGGAAAATTTAATGGGAATATAGAATATACCCTCTGGTAAATTAACAGTTTGCTATTGAACATGGACTATTTATAGTTGATCTACCTATTATATATATATATATCCTATTATAAATGGTGATGTTCCATAGCTATATTGGTAGTTTACCAGCGGGTAATAATGGTGTGAAATGGTGGATTTCACAATGTTTACCCATTTTAATCATGGACAATCATGGTCTATTTATCATAGGCTGAGTAGTAAGGCAATGTGCATTTTTAACTGGGCTGTGAGCCACCAGTGATTCTATTGGGTGAGGCCATGGCTTGGTGTGGGGCATTTGAACTCATTGTGTTGTGGCGAACATGGCAAAAACTTAGCAGAAGGAATGGATGTTGGAATGTTGAGGACTGACCTACCGCATTGGTTCGCAGGGAGTTAGTTTGCTTTAGTTGCAGAAGAGTAAAACGCCTCAAAAAAAGACGATGGTTTTTTCTTTGGTTATTGATGAGCCGCCTGGCACACCATTTTAGGTCGCCATGGCTGAATCTACCACCGGCAATGATAAAATGATAAAATTGTCCCCATTGTCATGACACCGTTGTTAGTTTAACATGTTTTAACTACACAGTAGAACAAGGTATGATTTATGATAAGATATGATATTTGAGTTGTAAAAACAAGGTATAATTGTTTCAACTACTCATCTGGTTGGTGGTTTCAAACCATTTTTTATTTTCCACAATATGCGATAATCCTCCCATTGACTTTCATATTTTTCAAGATGGTTAAAACCACCAACCAGTCATGATCATGATAGAATGATCCCCTTCTGGTTGGAGAACTCCACGGGTTTCTCACCAGGGCACTACGTCAGACCTGGCGAAAAAGTGCCTGGCGCAGCTTGGAGTTTTCTCCATGTGCTTCGCCAAGCCGGTAAACGAACAGGCATAGCGAACTGGAAAATCACCATTTTGAAGTTCGGTAAATCAACTATAAATGGGTCTTGAATAGGTGAAAATCACAATATATATATATATATGTTACATAATAGGTAAATCAACTTTTTCTATGGGCCATGGTTTCAATGCTCTGTAACAAATTACTAGAGGGTATCCGAATGATTGTAAATGTACGTTCTAAATTCATCTAAATCTATCCTGTGTATGTTGATATGTACCGCGTGTGTGCTTACATGAGTTAGACAAGTATGAATGAATGTTTTTGCGTGTGATTATTGTTGTAATTTTCAACGTAACCACCAGGGTCAGATCGGTCCAGGATGGATATGATACACACGTATCAGACATCGTAGACGACATACCAGGCTAAGGGTAATTGTTTTTATCTCCTTCATTTCTAATTATACATGGTTGGTTGGATATTCAAGTTGATATAGATACAGTATCTAGAAGATGTTCATAGATGTTCATCATATGCCTTATATTATTTATGATATCTCACCTATCTTTTGATCTTATGGATATTCATGATAACCCTTACCCCTCCACTGCCTGATCGGTTCATATTCAGCTGTTTTCCGAAGGATGGCATGGCTCAACTGAGCTGGTGACTGGATATTACCCTCTGGGAAACATACAAAAAACTTTGGAAAATCACAATGTTTAATGGGTCAATCCACTATTAAAAATGGCCATGTTCAATAGCTATGTTAGTTTACCAGAGGGTAACGATTATTAATGGTTTGATGAATTAATAGAGGAAAAAGAGGAACAGTTAACATTAACTTGCACTTCGTGGCCAAAGAAACAGAGTTGGATAGTTGAAACATGTAGAATCACCATCTTCAAGAATGAGCTACATGAATCACCATCATATTGAATGAGGTAATCATCATGTTGAATGAGGTAAAATTTACGGTAAACCATGGTAAACCCAATGAGCCATCCCCACTTTTGCCTTGCAGGTTTTCATGGCATTGGCTGCATCACATTACCGAAGGTAACCTCTGGTTCTGCATAATTGTATGGCAAATCACCCGTTTTAAAGGATAAAACATAATTGTTATCATCTATAAATGGGCCATGGCTTCCATAGTTTTTAAGTATAATCCATAATATAATTATCAACCAACCATGATTTATCAGTTATATCCACATGTCTCCCTACAGTTTGTTCAAAATCCATCAAAATCCCTATGTTACATGACTATCATCATCAACCACCCATATATAAATCATCAACCAGACGGGTACCCGTTGTACATGGCTATTTTCACCACGAAACTTCCTGGCCATTCTTCCCACCGTTGGTCTCGGCTCCAGCGTAAGCACCGGAAAAATCCGGTGTGCTGATCCCGGTGATCCGTAAACACCACGGGTGTTTCGCGAAAGTCGCCGCAGCTTGGAAGCGGCGAAGGGTAGGTGAAGGGTACATTTTGTTCTAATGGCTTGGTGGTTTATCATGATGTAAACCATGATGTAAACCATGGGTAGTTCATCTACCTATTTTTTATGGTGATGTTCCATTGCAAACTGTTAGTCTACCAAAGGGTAATAATGGTGATTAATGGTGTGAAATGGTGGATTTCATAATCTTTACCCATTTTAATCATGGACAATCATGGTCTATTTATCATGATGGTTTATCATAAAGTGGGGAAAAACAATGCCATAAACCAGCCATGGCCATTTCTAGGGCTGTACCCAATTTCATAAACCTCAAACTTGGGGATGGTTTATTACAGTCATCGCATAATCTCCGTTATTGTCCCACTATATTTTAATCCATATTATCCTAAAAATATCCTACAGTTGTGGCCCTGGCTGGAGATATATGGCTAGAAAATGGCACAAACAACAGTCATGGTTGGTCAATTGAGTTAATGGGATGGGCCCCATGATGTTTATGATTGGGTAAATCAAATCTGACATGGGTAACGCCAAACATGGTACTATTGGATATAATTTTACTATTGAATATATGTTGTTATGTTATGTTATTTTGGGGTTCCATGTTCAAGTTTGGGGTTGCAGATCTTGGGATCCCAACAAGCAACTAGATCCAGGTTACCGTTTCCATGTTCATCTATGTCCGGAACCTTAAAAAATAAGCCAAAGTTGATGAACATGGGACCATGGAAATGTGTGGCTCCAGTTTTCTTGGTCACTTTCTGAATGAAAAAAAACATCCATTTTGGCTTGCCATTGGCCCTGGGAGATTTGAAGACCTAAGGCCATGGGAGAAGGCGCCGGCGGCTGGGCATCGTCCAGATCTGGATTTTTGATGATTTTTCTCCTGAAAACGAAAGGTCCAACCCCCCCTTGTTCCATCTTGAGGTTCTTGTATCAGAAAGTTGGTGTTTCTCCCTGAACGTCACGTTGGACCCTGTTGCGAGGTTCTAGGTTTAGTAAAGGAACGGCATTGGAATTGAATCTGCCACTGGGTAAGGAACGGGGTCTGGAGCTGACATGGTTCAATGTGCCTTCAAATCCTCTGTGGGACTAGTTGGATAGGATGATGAGTCAAGGCGTCAACACTGCCCGCATTTGAAAACATGGTATGTTTCAGCTGGCCATAACTCCTTTTGGTGGCCGTAGCCGGTGGACAATACACATTATAATATCTATATAATATATAACATTATATTATATATATATTATGATATTTATATTATATACTGTAGATAATATATTATAAATGTATATATATATATATACATGGATACGTAACTTATACAACTGTAACCATGTAAATTCCTTCCATGGAGACTCACTTTTGTCCGATAACAATTGGCCTTTGGGCGAGCATGTTGCCCCGGCTATGTTGGAGCCTCCAATCTGTAACAAACTCATGTTGAATAGGTCGACCACAATATATATTATATATACATTATGTAAGATGTCTAACTTTGCGGCTTGCACCACATGGTATTGGTTTCTATACCTCATCCAAGGGTTGCCTGGCAGGAAATGTGTAGGAATCTCCTGTAATTGGCTACCTGCAAAGATACATAGATATTTAATACATGAGAAAATCCAAATTTGCTATCATACCCATATGCTCTGTGGATGTGTATGTTTACCCAGTTTACCCTTCTGGTAATCAAACGTGGCAATGGACAATCCATTTATAGTGGATTCTTCAGCTTGCCGGCTTTGATTACCAGAGGGTAACCCCATTAGCTCCTACAAACTCGTATAAAATCCTATAAAATCAAATTGCCCTTTGGTTATTGAACATAGCCATGGAAAAAAAATGCCATTTATGGATGGTTTACCTATTAAACATGGTGAATTTCCATGGCGAACTGTTAAATAACCAGATGGTAAATCCCAATAAATCTCATTCAATCCCATTAAATCCCATTAAACCACCATCTTCCTATGGTTTTCCTATGGTTTTCCTATGGTTTTCAGACATGTGCGGTGATATAAATCATACTTTTCCAACAGCAGAGAGTCGCCCCAGATGGACCTGGCTCGAAGATGTGGGTAGAGCTGGCATGCCTTGACCGTCGAGATCTGGTGAAAAACATCCATAGATATCTGGTGAGATGTGGTACCCCGAGTTATGTTTGTTAGTTTATAACCCCAAAAAAAATCGAGTTCGATCTATCTACCATAAGTCCTACAAAAAATGGAGTTATGTTCACCAACTTATTTATGGAATGGTATAATGACTTTATGGTTTATGACAGCTATAACTATATGGTTTATGATAACAATTGGAGATAGATTAATGATGAATCTGGGTAAATTTGATCGCGACCTCACTGTCCTCCCGAACCCTGGAACCATGGCGAAAGTATAGGGAAATCATCCCGTCTATGGCCGAAGTATTCAGGTTAGTGAAATATGATAATTTACCCAGATAGATATGGAGGGTTTCCATACGTGGATCCCCAATAGCTGGATGGCTTATTATGGAACATCCGAACATAGCTGGATGATTTTTCATAGCCCCATTCTACAGTTATGGCCCCATTTATAGAATGTTTCTCATCCCATAAAAATAACCAGTTAATAGAATAATCCCATAATTTATAGAATGTATAATCCCATAATTTTTTAGAATGTATAATCCCATGTATAATCCCATAGAATAAATGGCCTTAACTGTAGGAATCCTCCATAGATATAACAGGCTGAGCTACTTCTTGTCACCGCTCGCCGCCTTGGGCGGGACTCTTGGGGCGATACCCTCAGGGAGAGCCCCAAAAAAACATGCGGAAAATGATGAGAATCCACTGGAATTGGGGGTAGCCTGATTTCAGACTAACCCATAATATATATATATATATATGTTTAATAGCTATATATATATATACATATTTATATATATATATATAAATATATATAATATATACATGAATATAGTTTTTTTTGAAAGACATGGAAATATATGATGTTCAACAATTATGTTAAAATATCATAATATATGGAAATATATGGAGGGTGTACCCCACCAGGGCAAAAACAAAACGACAATGCAAGGTGAAGCCCTTCAGATAGCTAAGTTGCTTATAACTGGGTTGACTGGGGTTTATAGGGTATATTCATAAGTAAGGGGGGTGCATAAAACAACCTACAACTGGGGGCTTCACCTCGTCGTTCTACCTCATGGTGGACCTGCGCCATCCTGGGCCCCCCGGGGGTGCAGCAGGGCCAAAGGGCAACAGGTGCTTCACCTTCGACATGGTCTTGGGATGTTTTGGGTCCTCGATTTTTGCACAGCCAAAAGGATCATATTCTGGTTGGTGGTTGGGAACATTTTTAATTTTTCCATATATTGGGAATAATCATCCCAACTGACTTTCATATTTTTCAGAGGGGTAGGTATACCACCAACCAGATCATATTTCATCATATTTTACCAAAAATCAGTGGTCAAGTGTTAGGAATCTTATCCCATCGCCGAGCCGAGCCCCACGACAGAACGCCTTCTGCTCGATGTGCGTTGGCATGGTGGTGTTTCCCCTGTCCTTGTACCTCCTAGGGCCTGGTGCCCAAGCCCCCAAGCCCCCAAGCCGGGCGGCGATCCAGGCCTCCCAAAGACAGATTTTCATGGGGACATATGGGGATTCACAGCATTTCTTGCTGATGGGTTTGTAGATTTCACATGATTTGACTGAAGAATTCAGTTTGGATCTTTTTTCAGAACGCAACTTACATTTTGGAGCAAAGAGAAAACGTGGTGACCAATGGCAGCATGGCAATTAGTTGGCTTGAACAATCTTGAACATTAGCTTGCCCCCCCAAAATGGCAGACTTACCGGCTGCCTGGTGTCAGGACACTAAGGCAACCCTGCTAGGTAAACGCTAGGTAAACTTTGATTTGATTCATTGATGGCTTATTCATTGCTGGAAGAAAGACGGATAGCTATAGAATCTATCCAGTGGTCAGGAGTTCAGAAGTTGGGGACTGTATGTCCTATTAAACTGGAAGGAGCTATCAGGAGTTTCTCAACCACTGAAAAAAGTAATGAAGATAAATGATATCTTTGGGGTTGAAGTATAAGCCACATATAACCCTTAAAAGAACCATAAAATTGGGCTATGTCTAGTTTTGGTATATGATTTGTTCCTTAGATTTCCCCACTGGTCATACCTCAGCTGGGCTTGCTGAGGTCCAATGAACAGCAGTACATGTGCACTCACAAGAGCATCATTTTCGCCGATCAGAAGTCCAAGGCACGAACAACTAACCGGATTTTTGGTGCAATTGTGGTGGTGTGATGATTGTTTATGAATGCAAATGAATGATATCAGTTATTTGTGTTTTTAGATTTTTTTCAGTTGATTTAAAAATCTGTTGTGATTCTGATTGAATAAGTATCCTTCAATTGTACTTTTAGAGTGGAATTATCAGACGTAAGGTCCAATGCACTTTGAAACCCTGATCCCTGTAGACCTTTTGTGCTATTGTTCCACCGCAGCAATCACCACAGGGCTGGTGCTGTCGCCTCAATGTGAATAAGTATCAGGAGGGCTAGATCGGTTTGATAGATACGCTCACATTCATTGAATCCGTAAAGAAGAATTATGAGTAATGTATACATCAATAACTTATATGACGAAAGAAAAGTGAATGTACATTTACAGATTACTTATTTCCTTTTCTGAATAAGTAAATGTATACAGAAAAGTTAAATGACGAGCCGAAAGAAGACACGGAGACGAGATGAGACGAGTACCCCCACGACAAAGGCGGGAAACTATAACATCGTCACAGATTGCCACTCCTAGCTGGTTATTGGTGGTTAATACGATTAATTAGTAGGCGTGTATTAAGGCTTAAGACAATGGGGGTCACCTGATATGTCATATGTCCATTGAATCCCATAGTCATCCCATAAAATCTATGGTAAATTCAAAAAAAATAGCATAAAACATATTTAGAAAATTGCCTAAAAAATATACTAAAGTCCATAAAATCCATAAAGATGGCATTAAAAAAACGCCTAAAATCTTCATGGCTACTGGGATGTCTTGTCCCTTTTTTGTTGCCAAAAAAAAAGTGGCCCAATTCCCTCGACGACCTCGCGTATAGGTGATCCAATGTGACCAGCCCGACCTGGCTGACGGGATTGCGTTCATGTCCTGTCCCATCAAGGAGGCGAGAAAGCGCAAGGGCCGTGGCCAACTGGGTCTTTTTTGGGGAACAAAAACAACTGGGGATATAGTTAATAATGGGATAGTATAATGTGATATTATATTATTATTATTATTATTATGATTATTATTATTATTATCATTACTATTATTTTTTAATTATATATATATATGTGTGTGGATTATATTAAAGGATTGTGTTAATCGAGATTATATAGTCTGGGTAAAACAATGTCATAAACCATGCCCCAATTTCACTACGGATAGGTGGTATAAAACCATTCCCAAATGGGTGGTTTGTTCTTGTTTTACCCACATCAATGGATATTATGTAATGGGTTGGACCCTCCAAATACCCCACAGAAATGGCACAAGTATGTACAATTCCTCAAATTATGGAGTAAACCACCATTCTTACTGGTACTTGGAGGGTCTAGGTAGAACCAATAACATTACACTTAGAAGATCTTAGAAGACATTATAACATATTATAATTATTGTAACATATTATCAATGGCCATTTCAGGAACCTAAATTGGAGGTACCTACCATATATAAGGCCTATATAAGGCCTATGTAAAGGAATATCCCCACAAAATATGGCCTTATATGGTACAGTACCTCCAATTTAGGATCCTGGAATTCCCATTGATATTATACCTATAACGATCTACTGGATTCAATTCTCGACTGATCTTATAAGGACCTCACGTCGCGACCTCACTGGAATGACGGTTAGGATCCTTTTAGATTCGAGAAATACTATATACCCTCTGGTAATTTAACGTAGCTATTGAAAATGACCATTAATAGTGGATTTTCCCATTAAAAATGGTGATTTTCAATAGCTACGTTAGTTTACCAGAGGGTAACTTACCCAGACATTGTGGGATACACTCCACAGGACTCCACAGGCAATCAACCAATGGGAATATGATGGGATAGTTCATGAACAAAAAAAAATGGCATAATGAAGTTTTTGGAGGACATGGGAATTGACTAAACAATAGCGATATGATATAATGGGAACATGTTTTTTGGGGCCTATAAACCCAGCCAGCTCCCGCTGGCAAGCCATGTCCTGAGTTGGGATGATGATGGAAACCATGGAAAACTCAGCTTTGTGAACTGTTGTGATTGGAAATGGTCCGGATTGGAGGTCAAGTTTGTGACATGAGTATGTATAAAATTCTATAAGCCACTTGCGACATTTCAGGTGTTGAAGAGACTCGCAGGCTCTCACTGCTAGGCTTCAGAGCTTTTTTCACCCCCATGGTGACCATGGTGACCATCAATAAGCTATTGCGATGATGCCCGATGGGATGAGGATCAAAAGGTGACGTTTATAAAACGGAACCCCAAAAAGCTATTGGTACCCTAGAAATGGGATGATCATTGCTGGGACCGTTTACGAAAGGGGTAAAACGGGGTGTAATTGTCGTGCCTTGCAGATGAGAGAGTAAAACGCAGCCGGAAAAGCCATCGAGTTTAGCCATCCAAAAGCGGATCAATGTGATCATCATGCTGCCAGGACAGTCTGATGACCTTCAACGGAGTCAGCTTTGGCGCCACCGGCATTGGCAACGCCATCCATTTCAAGTGGGGCAGCCGAGCCGAGCCGAGATGCCGGGAGTTGATGAAAGAGGCTATGGGGATACAGCCCTGATGATTTTTTCCATAGGAAACCATAGGAAAACCATAGGAAAACATAGGAACCCATACTGGTTGGTGGTGACTGGAACCATGGAATTTTATGCCTTTCCAGAAACAGTTGGGTATGTCATAATCCCAACTGACGAACTCATATTCTTCGGAGGGGTAGGTATACCACAAGCCAGTTATGATGAACCACAAACTTATGATATCTATGGATATCTCTGGATATCAACCAGTGATGGGATTGATGTATTGTAGTCTTGTGAATTTACGTCATGTGCCGCCATGCCTACTTCAATGGGATGATGGCCCAGAGGGATTTTTCGCAATGGAAAATCCACCACAGCAATGGTCCTTTGCCAGAGCCACCGGTTGCCCCAGTGATGGAGAGACTTCGGCAGATCAATGGCCATTTCAGGACTGTAAAATAGAGATACAGTACTGCACCATATAAAGCCATATATTTGGGGGTATATCTTCTTAGCCCCTACATAAAAAAGACCTTCTACATGGTAGGTACCTCCAATTTAGGTTTGGAAATGGCCATTGAAGAGATGCAACAAATGGGAACACATAAACAACACCTCTCCGCACCTGTCATCCCCATCGGAGGTTGATACTGATTATCATTCATTGGATGAATCCTTGTTGTTTGATGTCAGTTTTGATACTTAAATCATCTTAAATCTCGGTGTTTTTTTTCAATGGCTGAATCAGCATAGTTGCCAGTTGCCAGTAACATATCCAATTATTATGAATCAATCCGATGCCAAATTTTCTGAGGTCAATCTGTCTCAATCCGCAACTTTGCTAGCCATTAAAACGACCAGTTATTTGTTGAGAATTGTGTTTGACCCGGATGGGATATAGAGCTATTTTTCGGTATGTATCATAGGTATGTATGCTGATTGGTGGTTTGGAACATGAATTTTATTTTCCATTTCATAGATGGGATGTCATCCTTCCCATTGCCTTTCATATTTTTCAGAGGGGTTGAAACCTCGCTCCCAGATCCGCAGCCGCCGCCATGAAAGCGGAGATGTTTCAATGCGTCCGGTCGCCTGGATGGCCCCGGGCGTGGAAAAAAAACGGGAAAATGGTGGTTTTGTGGGATTTTATGGGATTTAAGGATGACTTAACCACAAGAATCACTGGATCTTTGCCCTGTTCTGATCACAACGGACGTCCTAACACGATCCAACACGTCCGTAGGTGACAGCTGGGATTCTTGCAAGCCCGACTACAGAGGCTGACGGTTGGGACAGCGCTTGGATTGAGCGGCGTTGCGGTCACCGATCAGCGACCGCGAGCGAAAGAGCTTGGTGGCTACGTGATGCTTGCCTTCGCCTCGTTGCGTGCAAACCGCAGTCCTTCTTTGAAAGGAACAACGAAAACTGGCTCCAGAGAGCCACCGGGTTGACATTTTTAGCTGATTTATGATAGCAAAAGTTGGTTTGTCCAATTTCACGTTTGGGTTCGTTGGGGTATATCGTACTACTGTACGTAGTTAAATAATTAATGGGGAGTATGAACAAACCTATAAAAATTAAACATTGTAAAGATTCACTGGCTTGAGAGCAACGTTTCAGTGACATTGATAATCAATCCAGAATAATTCTTAGTAATTTTTACTTACTTGTCAACAGGTGGGGCTATAACCCACTTAAGGGGACTTATCAGCTAGTTTCAGTAATCACTTGGATTTGCTGAAGATGTGTTGGCTGTATTTTCCCAATCCTAAAATTCAATGCTTGGATCGCAAATCCAAGCTGAGCAGTCTTCAACCGCCCTGTTGGTTGATGATCATGTGATTTTATGGAGGTTTTAAATTGTTTTCAATGATTTTGACCATGAAACTATGGGGATACAAGTGGGTATAGCTGATCAATGATGGTTGGTTTGTAGATTTTACTACTCCTATATAAATATATATATATATAATATATGGGTATGGGTCAATACCTATTAATACCATTTTTTAGTTGGATGAACATCCATTTACCAGCTATTTTGATGTTCACCAGGGGTACAAGGTTTTGACACACTGCCATATATTGTATAGGGGATTATAGGGGATCATCACAACCCAGTATGAGAAATCATAGAAAAAGCAGCCAGAAAAAAAGGGAGGACAGGCCAGAGAGTTAAGAGAACTCTGCACATGTTGGAAAAGTATGATTTATATCACCATCAAATTACCCTCTGGTTATCAATCTACATGATATAACTACAGTTAAATATCCACTATATAATAGTGGTTAATATATCTTAGTCTAGTGAATAATAAGGGGAATAACTATGGATTACCCTCTGGTTATTTAACAGTTCGCCATGGAAAATCACCATTTTGTAGCTAGGTAAACCATCTATTTCTATGGGTCATTAACCAGAGGGCTACGTTAAATAACCAGAGGGTATATCAAGTTGATATTTTTAGAAGACCTAGATTGATTTATAGAAGCATTTCTTCAACTCCCAACTAGTTCACAGTCTCTGGCCAAGCGAGTTTTTATGAGTTTTTCATAGTTTTTCTGCTTACAGGGTATGCATCAAGTTAATTATTGGCTGATTACTCTCTGACAATCCACCATGTATGATTTTCCCATGTTAAAGGCACGCCATGTTTGAGCTGAGGGGTTTGATAAGTTGTGTACCCACCAGGATTCCGAGGCATGATGCAATAAATGGCAGGCATATGTAGAAGTTGATGTCAACAATATGTGATGCTACGCAATTTGCAATATGTATGTATATATATATATTATGTCTTGACCATATTTTTATGTATACATATATATATAGATGTGTGTGTGTGTGCGTCGATATTTGAACATATACACGCTAGCGTTTTTCTCATTCCAAAAACAATTCAGCCATCAGCCATTGGTGACCTGCAACCGGTCCATCCCTCTTCGCTTTTCCCCGCAGCGAAGTGATGCGGGAGCTGATCTAGAATTCATGAGCTGTTTTTTAATCCTGAACTGTTCATCATGAGTTCAATCATGTTACCCCTTTGGTTATTTAACATAGCCATGGAAGCCATGGCCCATAGAAATAGATGGTTTACCTATTAGACATGGTGATTTTTCATGGCTATGTTAAATAACCAGATGGTATATCCCCCGCTAATGTACCTTTATAGAATGAGTTTGTGGTCGTTTATGGAATGCAGTTTTGGGTATCATTCTATAAACCCAGATTTGGGGGGAATCGATCGGACCGGTTGGAACAAGCAAGTACATGAACCCTCCCTACTCATTCTATAAAACCAAGGTTTTGCAACCCTTTAACTCATTCCATAAAAGCCAAAATGCTCCAAAAAATGGATGTTAAATCGAAGTTAACCATCCTGGTAGATGCATTCCATAAATCCCATGGAGTGTAATGTTCGATTCGAGTAACAGACTTGTTTCGAAATGTTTGGACCAAACATGCACTTGACATAGCATTCTATAAACCGACATGTCCTGCTGGCTTTCCTCCTGTTTTTTTTACATGTAACTAGCCAATTCATTCTATAAAGTTAATTTTTGGGGTTTTTAACCATCGAAATCTGAGATCCTTAAACTTGCCGGACCATTCCATAAATATGCCTCAGATTCATTCTATAAAAAAAGAGCACCCTCAGAATAATTTTATAAACCAACATGTTTATAGAATGCAGTCAGCCACAGTCTAGGGCACATTCACGGAGGATGATGGTATATAAAGTATGTTAAACCGACTTTAGGAAAAAAACAGAATGATACCCGAAGACCACCAGTTTCCACTCTCGAACTTTGGGATTTCTTGGTGCTTCGGACCAAGGTGGAATACTCCAAAGAGGAGAAAATCGGCAACACCAGTGTCAAGGCCAGGGTGTTTTGTGTTGCGTCGATAGCAACTGGATAGCTACGAAAGGTACTGAGAATTAGGCCTCGAATGGGAATCATGGAGGGTCTGGGGATCATTTCCCATGATTTTTCTGGAGGGGACTGTACTACACCCTTCATAGCTGTTGCTGCTTTGGGGAGGGTTTCACCCAGCACACATCTTGGAATTTCGGGCTGCAACATGTGAACTTGTTGCTGAAGTTGTCCAATGCAGTCCCTCCGGCCAGAAGCACTGGAGCGATACAGACAAAGCAAGTTCCTGACGATCCGTGAAGTCAACATACGTTATTTTTATTTTAATATGTTAGGTACTGGTAAATGAGTAACATATCATCTGCTACTAAGCTACTCGTTTGTTGTGTTTTCTGCATTCTCCAACCGGAACCGGTTCAGCTCGCCCTCGAGGTTTATAGTTACAAGATGGAATGGAAGGATTCCCTCATCGACGTCTACAAGTTTTCGTGGACGTGTTGCTGGCTTGTCGTGTTGGTCGTGTTCCCTAGGAATGGTTGGGTTTCTGAAATTTGATCGAGACCGTTCCATTGAATCACCAGAATTCAAAAGATAGTTGGGATTAATGTGGCTGGTGATTTACAAGCCCTTGTTGTTGGTTGTTGGGTTGGGATTACGGTTGGATTATTAACCAACAGACAATGATTAAGGGCTTATTAATCATCTATCTGGGTAAATTATAACGACCTCACTGTCCTCCCTCACTGGAAATCATGGTTAATAAGGGGAATCACCCCCAAATGGCCTTAATTCAGGTTAGTGAAATGTTATAATTTACCCAGATCTATGGTTTAGTGGGGTCCCCCAACTGGGAGAGGTGGTTGAATCCCGAAGTGTGGATCCCCATGTCGACTATGCCTAGGCGTTTTTGTTCCGTTGCAAGGTTGATCAAACTTGGCTGTTTTATCGGATGGAAAGGGCACACGCACATTATACACACACCATATATGCATATAATTGCTTATATACATATATACGTGTATGTTTTATTTATAGGCACATCATATGCACAATTATATATCCAATATTATCCATATATGTTTTAAAACCAACCTTTAAAAACATCATGAAACAATGCGCCTCTCGTTGCGTTGTGCGTTGGGCCACTGGAGGATCCCCATTGACGTAAGGAGACGTCGTGACGGGGTTTTTGGTGCCGGTGGAAGCTGATAGATGGTTCAACCGCAAGCGGAACAAGATGGGATTTAAAGAACCGAAATGCTGGTAGAATGGGGGTATCATGGGATATTGATGGAATATCATTTAGATATATATATATATATACCTTGTATATAATATGTCAATGGGATATGTGGTTGATACCTTCTGGTAATCAAACGAGGCTGGCCGGAAGATCCCGAACTAGATGAAGGTTTTGGGCTGGGAAAAAGGGTTGTTTCATCACCAGAAACCGTAAAAACCCCAGCAGTTGACTTAGCTATTGGTCCCGGCTATTTATCAGTTGGATTATCAACCCCATTCACTGTAACAGTTACAAACCATGTTGGCTATTTGTAAATGTGTCGTAGATCCCTTTTTGTTTCCTCATGAATTTCACCAGTTTCCATGGTGAATTTCCATGAAGTTCATGGTGATTTTCCTATGGATTTTCCTACGTTTCATGATTCAATTCAATTCCCATTAAGAATTCCCATTTTGCATGGTGAAATCCCCGCTACACATCGGTGACTGAAAACCCGGATCAAATCGCCAGGGCGCAAGCAATTACTGCGCGCGACTACGGCTGCCCGGGCCTGACACCTGGTGCGGACGCCAAGGTCAGCATTTTTTCAGGTGATTTTCATGGGAAATGAATGGAATTTCATGGGGGGTTAGTGTGGTTTTGATGGGATTTCATGTGATTTTATTGGGTTTTAATAGTGTTTGATGTCTGGTGGTGTTACTGGGACTTAACCATGAGTTTTTGTAGACTTTGTTGAAAACATGGTGTTTTAACTATCAAATATATGGAAGGGTCATTGATAAATGATGGTTGGTTGATGATTTTTGTTGGGTACTCTCTGGTAAAGTAATCCTATCCCCATCCCCTTGATATTAAATATTCCCCTTGGAAACCGTAGTTTAGTATTGGATCTAGTAATTTGTCTGGATCACCCGGGTGATGTTTAAGATTGAATAGGAGGATGGGATTAAAAACATGACCACAATGTCCCAATGAATAGATGAGTTACCTGGACGCTGGGTCCATGGAACTATGAACTGGGAATATCTGAGTTGGGTTTGGGCAAATATCCCTGTAGATCTATATAGTGATTCTTGGTTTATATATATATATATATGTGTGTGTATATATACAGTCGTACATACATAATATGGGTGTAGTGTAATATGGTATACAGTAATCGTGTTCAGCATAATTCTTGGTGACTAGTTTCTCCGTGCCACCTTCCTCGACCGTTGTGAAGAGTTTGGTTGCAGTTGAGTGATTTTCTGTACTTAGCATGGGGCGAAATACTAAGTAACCAAAACAATGTTGGTCTATGTGACTCTGTTTACCTCCTTAAATGGGTGACTCATCAGACACACACCAAGTTTGTTGGTTGCATATATCGCATTCTGTCACCATATCAATATATCCGCGCTGTATCACCATCATACCCCCACTTGTGATAGTTACCATCTGGTTATTTAACATAGCCATGGAAAATCCACCTATGTTCTAGCTGGGTAAATCCACTATTTTGACTGGGCCATGTTCAATAGCAAACTGTAACAAATTACCAGAGGGTATCTTTCATACATCATCGTCATTTCCCATACATCACCATAGTAAAACCATATTTCCATATATTTCCCATAAATCTTCCCATTGAAACCTCCATTAAAACCTCCTTCCATATATTACCATCATGGTTCATCATTGCTGATAATTTCGTCCATATGTTTGATGGGTAAATCGCCATGATTTTTCTGCTTGAATCCACCCCAATTGGTGTATCGCTACAATGTGGGTCCTCCCGGTGATGTGAACGTTGGTTCATAACCCCCATGAATCCATAGTTATTTGCGTATCATAAACCATAGTGACATTGGAGTTATGTTCACCAATTTAGCCATCATAAATCAGCTTCAACTCCCATGAAATCCACATCTTTCTTGGGTCAATCTCCATTTTCCTATGGTTTTCCTATGAAGTCACCATTTTTCCCAGTGGTTTTTCGTTGGTCCCCACGATCAGCTCAGGTCAGGGTGGGCATATTTGGCCCAGCAACGTGCCGCGGGGGACGGTGCAGCACTATGTTTGGGGGCCTGGCTGACAGGCTGAGAAAGGTATAGAATGTTGGTATATATGGTACCCTCTGGTAAACTAACATAACTATGGAAAGATCAATGGGAATTTCAGGATCCTAAATTGGAGGTACCTACCATATATAAGGCCTATATAAGGCCTATGTAAGGGAATCACCCCACAAAATATGGCTTTATATGGTACAGTACCTCCATTTTAGGATCCTCAAATTCCCATTGAAAAGATCCACCAATCCACCATTTTTAATAGAGAAACCCCATTTTTTATATGCTGGTTGGTCTCCAATCAGCAGCCTATTCCCATCCCCAAGATGTTCAGACTCCCATTCTATGCCAAAGATGTATAACTGGTTGGTGGTTTGGAACATGTTTTATTTTTCCATATATTGGAAATAATAATCCCAACTGACTAATATTTTTCGAGATTGTTAACACCACCAACCAGTTGGTATATATGGTATGTGTGGTATATATGATATATCAATGGCAATTTCAGGATCCTAAAATGGATGTACTGTACCATATAAGGCAAAACTGGTTGGTGGTTTGGAACATGAATTTTATTTTCCATGATATATGGGATAGTCCTTCATATTGACTTTCATGTGTTTCAAGATGGTTGAAACCACCAACCAGTATGTGTGGTATATATGGCATACATAGTATATGAATAGTTGGTGGTTCCATACCATGTATACTCAAGTTTGTCATCTTTTTATACCGTCAAGTTGGAAAGTTCTAGAATGGGAACCCCTGGGGATGATGAAATGGGGTTGAGTCAACTTGAGAGGATATGTTTGGTAAGATGCTTTTTGATGCCAGTAAGTTGTGATATGTCATAGTTTCCAGCCTTATGGAGGGTTTATACCCAATTATGCTGAAATTCGGGGTGGATATAGATGTGTATATACAGAGTGTGCATATATATATATATATGTCGTATGGTATGGTATGGTACGGTATAGTATGGTATGGTATGGTATGGTACTATAAAGTAACGTAACCTATATGAACCACTACCAAAATATGGTGAACATGGAGGAAAACCAAATCCAAAGGTGGTTTGATGCGGAGATAAACCAACAAAAGCAGGATTTGAATCCTCGCCTCAAGAATGACAGGACCGGCAAGCACAAGAGGATTTAGCAGACCTTGATTTGTTTCCAGCAAGAGTAGATATGTTGTGGATGGGGTCCATGAACCTTGGTTTGCTAGGTACTTATACTCGTATATATCAATCAATCAAAATGATAATGTCTAACCGTCTAACCAACAAATGAAAATGCTACATAAAGTTGTTGGGCCACGTTGGGGCAAGGGGCTTGCAGGACCCTCAAATGAGGCTGTAATAATACGTGACCCTTTTGGGGGGTTAAGTCGGTTAAGTCACCTCGAATTGGTGGTTGCAAAACTTGGATTGAAAACCAGATGTAGCCTCTATTGTTGGGAAAACCATAGGAAAACTATGGGAAAACCATGGGAAAATGGTGGTTTAATGGGATTTAATGGGATTTAGCCTCTGGTTATGACTAACATCGCCATGGTTTGTTGATGGCCCTAATCGAAATAGATGGTTTACCTAGCTAGAAAATGGCTGGATCTTTCCATGGCAGTGGCTGGATCTTTCCATGGCAAAGCGTTAGTCATCACCAGATGGTACATATGCCCATCTCCCAATTATGTACCATCCCTGGAGATAAGATGATGGATTATATTATATTATATTATACTTTATTATATTATATTTTATTATATTATATTATATTTATATTATACTTTATTATATTATATTATATTATACATATCCCACTATTTTTCCAGAGTTTCTTATGGGTTTCTCTGAAAAATAGGCCATCCCCCAATTCCCATGGATTAACCATGATGAAAAATCATATCTGGTTGGTGGTGACTGGAACCATGGATATTAAGGGATTATGGTGATTGATAGTGATGGTTAATTAATAGTGGTTAATAGGCTATAAATTATAAACCAACAACAATGGGAATATGATGGTGATCTGATTGGTGGTTTGGAAGATGACTTTTATCACTTTCCATATGTTGGGAATGTCATCATCCCAACTGACGAACTCCATCATTTTTCAGATGGGTAGGGCTCAACCACCAACCAGGGTATGTGTGGTATATATGGTATACATATGGTATACATGGTATATGAATAGTTGGTGGTTCCATACCATGTATTCTCAAGTTTGTCATGAAACCTCATAGCCATATATTGTGTTATGTTTTATTTTTCCATATATTGTGAATCATCATCCCAACTGACACTAATATATATTGTTTAGATGGGTAGGTATACCACCAACCAGATATGAAAACCTCATGTTCCCCTTTAAGCCATGGGCCGGCGGTGGCTATCCCACCGCTGTAAGGGAACCATCGCGAACATCACTCGGACCGAGGCACCGGAGGTCCGCGCCGGTCCGTTGATCATCGACTCCGAACTGATGAGAGGACGCCGAACTGATCAATCCGACTCCTCCCATGGAGCAATTGGTCATTGATAACTATGGAACCCTCTCGGAAATGGAACATATATGGGAAATATATGGGAAATATGGGATTTATGGATGTTTACCCTCTGGTAATTTGATACGTAGCTATTGAAAATGGCCCAGTCGAAATAGTGGATTCACCCATTGAAAATGGTGATTTTCCATAGTTACGTTAGTTTACCAGAGGGTATCTGAATTGATAACTATTAATGGATAATTGGTAATTTTGATAGTAACCAACTACAGAACAAAAAGTTACCAACCAAAATAATTATTGATTCAGCCCAGCAACTATAGATAATCAATAGATATCAATAGTTATCAACCATAATGAAATCGCTATAGCTGATTGATAACTATAGTAATTTCACTTATAGATATAAGTATCATAAACCATAGTGACATTACAGTGATGTTTACCAATGAACTATAGTGGACGTTGTTCGATATGCTATTCTAGTTGATACCAGGTTATTTTGTTGTTCGACTCGGCATCTAGATCATCTAGCTGGAATCATGGGGGACCCATTAAGTATAGATGAATTATACCCCCTGGTTATGACTAAGGGTTTGCCATGGAAAGATCCACCATTTTATAGCTAGGTAAACATAGGTAAACCATCTAGTTCGATTAGGGCCATCAACAAACCATGGCGATGTTAGTCACAACCAGAGGCTAGATCTTAACTGCAGGTGAACGACACCGTAAATCATGGAAAGTCACCGTGGTGACATCACGGTCCGTGACGTCGTGACCCTGGAATCATGGTGAAGGACCGAAATTCGGGGTGAAATATTATAGCTTACCCAAAATAATGCTCGATTGATCATCAGTTTGGGCAGTTTGGGGACTCATATGTTAACCATTGTTAACCAATAGATTGGTTTGAATTGGACCCATCGGAACGAAACAGGATGTAAATGATAGGTGCATCAATGTAAATGGTAATTTAACCCTTGAGCTTGAAACGGCAAAGATTTCGGTTTAACCAAGAAGAAGTGGATTCAATCTGGAAAGACATGGGATTTATCGTTATCACAGCTAGATTGGAGGAATGACCCTGGGATACAGTTGGGTTTATCGCAATTATATCTATTCTTAATGGGAATTGTACCCCACATATCCCCAAGTTGTGTCTTGGGGACACTATTGTGCACTATAACTATGGCATGCGGCATACTTGTGAACCCTGGTGATACCGGAAGTATGGCTCATGAGGGATCACATACTGGTAAAGGATGAACAAGGAGTTAGATCCCGGTGATGCTTGGCAACATATTTCTGGTAGCCAGGGTTGAGAAGGGCCATTAAGGGCCGCCAAGTAAAATGTTACAAGTCGGTTTGTTTTGTGCAATCTAACTATAGTTTGTATTTGCCATAAACTCAATCGCTTGCCTGTGATAAACAATCAGATGCCTATCGTTTGGGGGCCCTCTTCCTGTTGTTAAGAAGGTGTTTAACATGTGTAGCTGTATAACTGGGTTATTATCTCACTTACTAACCAGATACTAAGTGAGGATTTTCGTGTGGGGTGTAGTGGTGTAGTTGGCTTTTCACCAACCTTCGAGTCATTGAACACTCAACAGAAGCCACCACAGTTGGATGATCCTCCGGCCGGGCCATGCTTCGTCACATATCCCTAACATATACCCTCTGGTAAACATACACAAAATCGAAAAAATATGGAAAATCACCATGTTAAATGGGTAAATCCACTATTTCGACTGGGTCATTTTCAATAGCTATGTTAGTCATTACCAGAGGCTATCCCTAACATATATCCCAATGACTCAAGTCAACATATGCTTGCAAGAAAGGAGCCTATGTTAACTTACACCAAGCCTATGTATCGTTGGCTTTTATTTGGCCGACAGTCCAATCAGATCCCCGTTTCGCCCAGGAGGATACGCCTCAGGGTGCCGTTTTGTGGGATATGGCAGGGGAATTAAGTAGTAATCACCAGAAAGATAGGAAAAAAGGAACGTATCTATAGATTTAGATGATTTTAGTTGGATTTAACTTTTCCATCTGTTTTTTTGGGCGTGACTGACTAAACATTGTTGCTGGTATATATTGAATTTAAAGTCTGTCCGTGGTCAGGAGGGAGCGGTTCGGAGCGGTTCGGGGTATTCACATGTGTTTTTTCTTTCCAGTAAGTAGGTTGGAACCATCCGATAGTGTGGCGATATATAGAAAATTAAACTATGATATTTGGGGCTTAGAGTGGAAAATATGAATGGCTATGACTTTGTGTGACCATGTATAACCAGGCTACGTAATACACCCCGCAAGCCGAGATATAACCTGTAGGGGCCATATATTGACATAAATTTAGTGGAACTGCATCCCCACTCACTTGGAGCATGTTGGGACCAATTTGCGGTTCTCAGGAAGGATAGACTTGGAATTTCGCGCATTCTTGGAATAGCCTCTGGTAAACATACAAAAAACTATGGAACATCAGCATTTTATAGCTGGGTAAATCAACTATAAATGGACCATTTTCAATAGCTATGTTAGTCATTACCAGAGGCTATATCCCATTAAATCCCATTAAATCCCATTAAACCACCATTTTCCTATGGTTTTCCTATGGTTTTCCTATGGTTTTCCTAGGGTATGTCAACTTGCACCCATCACATTTGGGATCGAGGTACCTTGGGTAAGCCTTGGGTAATGGGCTTCGCCATGGAACTGATACCGGGGAACAAACGTGCCAGCTACATAGCTCCCACTCCCAACATCTATATCATATATAAATCAATATCATATAGATGTAGACATATATATATATATATAGACAGATAGATATAGATATAGATAGATAGATAGATATAGATACATATATAATAGATATAGATAAATAGATTCACACACACATATATATATATATCATGAATATCATATAGTTTTTTTGGACTTACAGGACACCTTTGAAATGGATGTGCAACATGATTTTACAACTAGACGCTGCTATTTTGTTAAATAATTTTCAGCAATTGCTCAGGAGTCCGTCTCTTTTGGCTGCTCCCCTTCTCCTTTCATCCGCGGGCCAGGCTGTCGATTAACTTTGCAACGCCTGTGAACTTGAACGAGTTCAGAGGCAGCTTCGAAGGCTTCGATCAGCTTCCAATGACGAAGCTGGTGCAATCGATGATTCAGCCAGTACCTGGGCGCACATCAGCATCCCCTTTGTCTGACTCCTTTTGAAAAGCAGAAATCCACAAGTACTTGGGAAAATTGCGAGAGAATTTGTTGACCTGAAATCTTGCATATATCCTGCATATATGCCTGTTTGCCCCATATGATTCGACAGCGGACAGTCATCCGTTGCCAAGGCGGCTCACCACGCGTCCAACTGGTACACCCAAGTCGTGAAGAATCCCGTTTTCACCAACGCGGGCGCGGGCGGCGCGGGCGGCCCTGCCAGCCATCCCGGTGGTCACCACCCTGCGCCACACCATGGTCGACGCCTCTTCGATTTCACCAATCCCTTCGGCTCGGGGGCCCCGGGGGCCCCGGGGGCTCGGAGATAACTGCAGCTGGTTGGTGGCAGCAGTGATTGATAGTGATGTTTTTTTTGTTGTTTTTATAGGCTATAAACCAAGAACGGAATATGATGGTGATCTGGTTGGTGGTGACTGAAACCATGGAACTTTATGACTTTCCATATGTTGGGAATTTCATATTCCCAACTGACGAACTCATATTTTTCAGAGGGGTAGTATACCACCAGCCAGGCAGTGATTTTCGGGGCCCACATGCACAGATCGCGCAACTGTACCTTTAGATGACACCCAATATCTGAATTTGTCAGATTGTGCGGGACAACTTTCTTGCACCCTCAATACTCGGCATGACTTGAAGGATATGGCACAGACAGCCAGCTACCTGACTGCAACTATCTTTTGGCAAGCACATAATGGTAGCCGGAAAATCTGTCAGAGAAAGACCCAGAAATATCATGAAATATCCATAAATATGCAGAAATGCTGTAATGTCAACCCTGGATGAATAAATCCAAAACGCTTGTAGTAAATTGTAGGGGCACCAATTGACTATATAGGATATAAGTATATATATATATATATAATATATATATATATCATATTATCACTATTTGGAGCACATCCCCATAAATCCAAGGGTTTATGAATCCGGGGTTGACGTTAGCACAGCACCAGCACCTGTCCCAGGTCATACCGTGAAGACCATGGATATGTCTTCCGTGGGTCCTCACAACGCAGCCACTGGGTGGAAAGGTCGTTGAATGGGGAATGGCGGCTCGCGTGTTTCGCCATGGTTTCTAGAAACGATGTTGAGCATTTTTGGGGGTTCTCAACCATGGAAATATGAAGATGATGGAGGGTGATCCCAACTTTTTCGATCATAGGCCCAACCATCCCAAAGGACTGTCACAGATCCTCGAAAAAGCCATCCAGCCATCCCCAAGTCATCGCCAAAACTCGGGAAACCCCACATTGGAATATGGTTTTCAGATGTTATTATCAATATAAGTGGACAAGGAATCGGGATTGACATGCCCATTTGGTTCGGATATGTTTGGATCCCCGTTGTGGGCAGTTATGGGATGACCAAACCAAATTGACCATGATGTTTTGACCATGGCACATGTGTAAATGGCAGAATCCTAGCCCATTCCTATCGTTTTTGGGCAGGCTTTCTACGGGTAGCTATCAAGATGGCGCTGAGAATCCATAGATTGTCACATGTTGTTATTTCAACACATTATTACATACCCCTCATATTACTACACCTTCTCACACATTATTTTGTTTTGCAACTTATTGTGCAATATTGATATTATAATCTATTTTCTACATATCAAATCAAATATTGGTATTATAACAATATTATAATATATATATATATATATATATTACCTGGTTGGTTGTTTCAAACATGAATTTTATTTTCCATTTCATACATGGGATGTCATCCTTCCCACTGACTAATATGTTTCAAGATGGTTATTGCACCACCAACCAGCCATGATAAAATGGGCTTATTAATGGTTAGTATAGCCAATTAGATACATTTTTTTAACAATATCATAGTCAATTAGTCTGGGTAAATTATAACGACCTCACTGCGACCTCACTGGAAATCATGGTTAATAAGGGGAATCACCCCCAAATGGCCTTAATTCAGGTTAGTGAAATATTATAATTTACCCAGAATTAGTGGTATTATAACAATATTTTAATCTATATATATATCATTAATACCTATTAGATGATATGGTCACTAGTGGTAATGAATGGTATTAATGGTATTTTTGACCATTAGATGGTCATGATATATATATATATTATGTATAAATTACAGTTATCACATATTTTTTACCCGTAAACTTCGCATCTTTTTTTTTCAAATGTTCCCTGTTTCGATGGCTTTTTAAGAACCGTTCTCGAGGCGATCGATGGCTCGGGCACGTACGTCATCACCTGCCAACAGCAACGGCCTGGGAACTCAGTTTTTTTTGGATGAAAATTGGTAGTGTTGGAATGAAAAACGGAAAATCCAACAATGGAATATAGTATACCCCTATGAAAAATGGGATATACTATTTTTATATTAATGGAATTGCATGAAATATAGTATATCCATGTATATCCCATGAATACATCCATCAATGAAATACTAGCGTATTGGTGATATTCCCATGATATGACCATTCAATCTGTCAGTTTTGGGAAGCCCATGTTCAACCATGTTCCGGAAGTGGTCCGAGGATCGGCTGCATTCGCATCCAATTTTTCAAGAACTGGGACACAATTGTCACCATGGTCAGTGCAGTGCAAGGAGGTGCGAGTCCAGGATGGTGATAGGGCTCAGAGATTTCAGACAACTGAAGTACCATCTGGTTATTTAACATAGCCATGGGAAATGGCCCATTTATAGATGGTTTTCGTATTAAAAATAGTGATTTTCCATAGTTATGTTAAATTACCAGAGGGTAACTGTGGAATTTTGGTAAAAAAAAAATCCGGGGATTCATCCAGTGAATGGGTTTTACGCAACATGATTTGGTATCCGCCATCGTGACTTTCATATAATATCATGTTCCAATAACTACAGTAAACCATAGAACTGGCGACTTTACCATGGCTACTAATCAATACTAACCAGGTCCTTTTGGGAAAATCACTCACCCATGGTGATGACGTCCACCCGGCGCTTTAAAGATCAATTCTGAAGTGTGCGTCAACTTCGTTTAATTTCTCAAACGGTACCAGTACCCTCACCTTGTACTAAGCTACATCCACTGGTAATATGATCAGTACGGGTTACTGTATGTCTACTTATATCATCTTATATGCCCATGGGGCCCATGATGTACCCTCTGGTAATGACTAGCGTAGCTATTGGAAATGGCCCAGTCGAAATAGTTGATTTACCCAGCTATAAAATGGGTGGATTTTCCAGTTCGATAGCTTTTTGTATGTTTACCAGGCCGGGTATCCCATAGATGCATGATGTATCCCTTACGAAGCAATCATCAAGGGCCCGTGATTTTCCACAGTGGATCTCCCATGGGGTCCGCCAGGAAGCACCTTGCCAGTGGATGTGCCTTCTTCCTGGGGTGCGCGTGGTTTTCGAGTTGACTGGGAACGGGGGATTGAACCAGCATGAACCAGCCATGGGGGTAGGGCTTTAACCAGCAAAAACAGGGAAGGAATTCTTGTGGAGCTGGATCCCATATGCTCCATGTAGTTATGGAATATGTATCAACATTTACGGCAAACATCACCCAAATGTAGGTACATATATACCATACATGGAGCATCTGAGTATATGTATGTATCATTCGTGATATGTTTCTCTGGGATTTGGGAACTTGAGGATTTCGTACCGAAAGGGCGCCTTGATTCCAGTCTCATCTCTTCGAACTAAGATCTAAGATGGTCTGAGTTAGCCTTTGGTAATCCATGGCATAGATGATTTTCCCATTATTTTCCCATTTAAGAATTTAACTTCGGGAATTCCATGGAATTCGCATTGCCATGTTGGATTAGCCTATCGGATATGTTTCAACTCGAAGTGCTGGAGATAACCGCATTTTTAAGTGACGAAGAGTGTTTTATGTTGATGTCCAATTCTCAGGCATACCCTTCAATAATCTAAGCTGGCTCAAAAAGAGACATGGACTTCGATATATTCCATGATTTTAGCCTCATTCATACAAGGTGGTCCCTATTATCTAGATGATGTCATCAGCCCGTCATCGAACAGCAATCACCTACAAATCAGCCATACATCGCTATTGTTCGAAATCCAACTCCAATCAAGTCCACATTTTCCAACTAATCTAACATATTCTAAGATAAATCTCCTCGAAATGCCTATGGTTCATGGGTTAAATTCACCATGTTCTCCTCGTTCCAGGCTGCGGTACGGACAAGTTCCAAGCCTTGCCCGGGCACCCTGGGAATCGCATGGTATTCCCTTAGAAAACCATGGTAGATGCAAGGGATTTCCACATGTTTTGGGACATTTGGGACCATGCAATTGGGGTGTTTAATAGGGTGATGGGATCATACATGACTGTTTTTAATGGGAAAATCAACGAACTAAACCAACATGGAGAATTTCCAATTGCTGTGTTTGATTGCCGGATGGTATATTGAAACATGTATATATATATATCAGTATTACCCCCAAAACAATAGAAGTTGGTAAAATGGCAAGTTGTTGTTATCCCCATAATTTATCAACATATAGTAATCCCAATTTGCTACGGAAACTTAGTGATAAATTGAACCTGTCCCTTTTTTTACTGCTTCCTTCACACCCACGCACCTCTCGGGTAGCTGAGCGACGAGCGACGCATCAAATACCGTTGGAATCAGGGAAGATACCAAGTCAACTTGGGGAAATCTTACGGGAAGAGCCGCCCTCAAGAGCGTGGGTGAGAACCCCAAACTTAGTGATAAATTGAACCTGTTCCCATTTTTGGAGGGATTATGTTCTAAGCCCCAAGCCACAAAACAGCTGTTTGCAAAGGGATATCATGTAAAATTCCCATGAAGATCATCAAATGCCTTGTTGCAAGGGAATATGATTAAGCCGGCTATAGCCATTGACATTGATGAACTACTTCATGAGCCAACTCATCCATGCAATCGCTGATTAAGCCAGGAAATAGCCAGTTGTTACCACTGAAGCAATACCAGTCATCCTTGATGGACAATGATTCGCCCACTGGGCCTTTCCGGGAAAGCCTGGCTACCATTTTTACCTACCAGGTTTTCCTCCCAACCCCCAGGCCCTGGGGGGAATCCTGGATCCTGGGACGCTGTTGAACCAGGTTTCGTATGTTGTGCTTGGCCGGGATAGTGTGCAGCCTCCCAAAAATTCGAAAATCACGTGTCAGTTCTCAAACTACAAGCATATCCAATCATAACACCCAATCATCTGGGGGTTTCCACAAATGGGGGTTACCAGTCATCCATTTCAGTAGGATTTTCCATCATAAACCATCCAGCGAGAAAGGGGTACCTCCATGGCTATGGAAACCCGCATATAGCCAGTTGAGAGGATTCAGCTACTGCAGTGGCTTGGGGATGCTTGGATGGGAATTCACCAGTATAAAAGCAGCCAGATCAAAAGTGGGGATAAAATAAAGATGTGGTACCCCCCAGTGATGTTTGTTAGTTTATAACCCCCATCAACTATAGATATATCTACCATAAGTCCTACTTATTGTAGTTATAAACCAACTTAGCTATCTATGGGGCACCACTATGTAAAGATGTGTTGCATTCCTCCCAAAGTTGCGTGGTGTTTCGATGCACCACGTTTTGTTTGTCAAATTCCATCAAATTCTTTAGTGAAAAGAAGCCAGTGGGGCAGGTGTTTGTGGCTCCAATCCGCAAAGTGGCTCTCCCTAGTTATAAGATCTTCTGATTTGGTTTCTAGACTCCATGAACTATAGATAGATAGATAGATAGATAGATAGATTTATTATTATTACTAATTACTATTATTATTATATCATATCTATCTATCCATCTCGTCCATCTAGTTAAATCTATAGTTCTGTTATTTCCATCATATTCCATCAACTATTTCGCCAACCAAATCCCGGGGTTCCCTATTCGCTCCTTCCAGGGAAGGTGGCGAGGAGTCCAAGAGCTCCTTCTTCAGCATGATGGAGGAGTCCAATACCGTTGGGAATCCCAGGGTCCGGAAATGTCCTGGTTTTTTTGGGGGTTAAGTCGTTGTGAGAAGCTGGTGACGTGACTTAAAGATTGATGGGAAAACTATAGGAAAACCATGGGAAAATGGTGGTTTAATGGGATTTAATGGGATATACCATCTGGTTATGACTCACAGTTCGCGAACTGGAAAATCCCCCAAATAAATGGAGGTTGATGTCGCTGGGAAAATCATCTATGAATCTATGGGCCATGGCGCCACCATGGCTATGTTAAATAACAAAAGATTAGATTAGATTAGACTCCCGGATGTGAATGTTGTGGATTTGGATGAACATGTGCTGTTGGGTTTGGTGCAGCCATGACCCGAGTCGCCAAGAGTGAGGGCCGTAGGTGACTGGAGTTCTACTGCTGGAAGCCCCTGCAAGGATGGGCCTCACAGACTCTCAAGGTTAACGGATGTGCAACATGTTTAGTGGTTTCGGACATTTTGTTGAAGTGCTTCCTGTCAATGTGAAGGGCACATGTTGTGTGGCATGTTTGAATGGCTCAACCAAAAAATCTTTCATCTTCTTTCGGAATTGAGTTTCTGTGGCTAACTGGTGGTTTGAAACAGTGTTTTTGTTTTTTGTCCAGCCCTGCAGTGTACATGTGGTGTCAAAAATGCCAGCATATCTGATAATGTGGGTAAAACAATAATAAACCATCCCCCAAATCACCATAAATATATAGGTGGTATAAAGCATTCCCAAATGGTTTTGTGCTCAACTGGCAGTTGCTGACCTATTTCTTTTCGCATGCCAGGAGTTGTGTACGTATGGATGAACTCTTATAGATACTTGGTGGTTCATCCTCATTAGCAAGTAGCTAGCTCATTCACAATGTTCATTTACTGTATATATATAGATATGCGTGTGAAATATCAATCCCAATATCAAAAAAATCCGATCACATTCCGATTATTATAAGTACACAATTATACATATTCTATATCATTCTTCTTGCCATTACTATATTTTACATTCTATTTGGCTGAATCATAGTGACCTCACAACGCGTCACCGAAATCATGGGACTTGGGCGCCTCACTGTGAGGTTTGACTCACGGCTACGCCCAGATACTACAACTACTGCATGGTTTACTTAAAAGAATAGGTGGACATATTTTTAGTACATGATTTAATGGCGTATTATCCAGGGTACATTTACTATTATATGGTTGATGTACACCCCATTGTCAGATAACCAATATTACAATACCATTTGTTATTATTTCTTATATTGTATGACAGATAAATATTAAGCACCATTCCAGATAAACAAACATATTATAAGATCCCAGATAGTATTTGCTATTTGCCAGCTTGTATTCCAGATATATCACATGAGAATGCTGCCAGATTGCCAGACATATCCAACTATATTACTATGCTACATAGGATATATTCTTATCATATACTATAACTATAAGTATATTAATTAGTAAGTAGGTGATATATATATATACAATTACTAAATAGGATAGTCCATTACTATTATATGATATTATATACGATAATAGCCAGTATTACATACTATAGTTGATCTTGAGGAACCTCTACAACAAAGTTATGGCTTCCCAAACTAAGAAAAAATATATCCTCAGATCATCCATGCATGTATATCAACACCATTGAGAATAAGTATATACTATATTGGAGTAGTCCATAGATATTGGTTTATCAATTGTTTACCACTTTGTACTATATAAATATGACTATCATATACTAACTATAACCAATTATTTATATAGTTATAATATATATATATATGATAGCACCATCATATGGTATTTCTAGGATATACTGGGTATATCTGGCTATACTATATATATTTATATAGGCTATAGGATTAGTCCATGACCATAGCCAGATATACCCAGTAAAATCCTATCGCTCGCCAAGTCCACCACCTGGATGATGCGCGTCTTCGGTTTGTTGCTCACTTGGGCGGCCGTGTGCCGAAATCGGGCCTGGCCGTTCGGAACCACGGAGCCATTGAGGAAAACCATAGGAAAACCATAGGAAAATGGTGGTTTAATGGGATTTAATGGGATTTAATGGGGTATACCCTCTGGTTATTTAACATAGCCATGGTATAGATGGCCCATAGAAATAGATGGTTTAGCTATAAAATGGTGGATCTTTCCATGGCGAACTGTTAAATAACCAGATGGTACCCCTAATACATGACCCAGTTTTGTAGGTAAATATACCAGCACCATGGTTCGCATATGGGTCATGCTGAACTGAAAAATCCAGGGCTACGACGTGGTACCACATGGGATATCTCTGGATTTACGACTTTTGTGGAAAGGACCGGACCCGAGTCGTACGTGTGAAAAAGGTACTTATTGTTGTTTTTTTGCTGGAAATTGATTTGGATTAATTTTCAGTCTAGATCTCGGAAGGTAACTTGCAAGCATTTGGAAGCCCCGGAAGTGGGATGTAGATTCACCTTGAATCAGGGAATTGCTATGAATTGTTGCTATTTCAGGTTATTTCAATGTTTTTTATGTATCTAAGCTGCAGGCTCGTGAGGTTTTATTTATCTTTATCTATCTTTTTCTACCATTTAGAACTGTTGACAGTGAGTTGGAAACAAATGGAATTACAATTACATACAATTACTATGGGGGCAGGACAGTCAATAAAAATGCATTGTTTCCATATTAAACCATGGTTAACCAACAAGAATGCTGGCTAAAAGGGGGGATATAGTTGGGGATACAATGGGGAGATTTTTTGATAGCAACCGTCGTAGAACAGAAACATACCAGTCTTCGTCATTGTGATTCATTTCGTGCCCTTGAGAACTCGCGTTGACCTCAAGAGTCTTGACTCAAGAGGTTCCACTGTTTTACAGATGAGTTTTCCAAGGAAAATCGTTACAAATTGGGTAGTTTTGATGATGTTTGATGTGTGATTTTGGCAGGGTAACATCAGCTACTTACTTGCCTAGTTGCCTGGGCAGTTGCCTAGTTGTTCTTGTTGTTCTCTGTTTGCAGGTACTGTTGTTTTGCCCCTATTGCTGGGGCCATCGATGTGGTGGGTGATTGTCAGCGATGCCCAGACCGGAGGGGAAGGTAAATTATAACGACCTCATGTCGCGACCGAGCCCTGGAATCATGGTGAAAGTATAGGGAAATCATATCAATGATAGCCTTCATTCACGTGAGTGAAATATGATATTTTTCCCGGATGCATGTTCAATGGTGAATGAGCGTTGTAAATTTAGATAGGAATGTTCGGAATGTTGGTATACCTGTAAGACTGTGCGAATGACTTGCGATCCTGAAATACATTTTTTTGTAACTGTGTGCGTTGCTTCAGTTTCTCTTTTTCTGTGAAATCCCAAACTTTTGTTGGCTAAATCCCTAGGTGTGCTTTTGTGTTTCTTAATTGCCGAGTTCGTGCAGTACAACTCTTGTTGGTTGAATCTCCACTTATATATGTTCAGTTCAAATCGTGCTAGATCCCAAGTCTTTGCCACTCGATCCCGTCTTCAAACTAGTTCATTGCCGACTAGAGCCACATACTGGAAATTACCCTTCAGTGTTATCAAACATGGCAGGTGGCTCGGGAATCCCTGCACTAAATGGGGAATTCTGCATTGCCATGGTTGACCACCAGACGATACTCATTTATATGTACATAGTCAATTATAGGCATATTTGGCCCCTGTACTAAGTATTCTTGTTTTTGTGTTCCAGTTATGAATATTGCTATAGTTTGGTATGTTTAGGTTTTTTTCTGGTCTTATCAGTTGTCTCTTTACTTTGTTTACTGGCAGTCTGACTTTCTTCTATTGCCCCTCTTATGTACATCGATTCTTGAGCATCTAACAGATCTTTGGTAAGTACCCGACATTTTCGTAACGGAAGATTTCTAATCCCAGGTGTTTAGTAGAGAAATGGACCCCATAACTCCTTTTTTGGGGTTGATGATCGGAGATGGAGCACCTCTCATGTCCCAGCCTTGAGGCATTCGGGGCATTCCCTGCTTGGGCCAGTTCTTGGAAGATCTGCTGGAAGGCTGGATCTGGAGGTTGCTGAACAAATGGATACCCCCAAATCATCCACTTTCATAGGGATTTCTTGTGATTTTTCCATTACAACCTTAATCTCTGGTGGTTTCAAACCATGGAATGGATGATAATTTGATTGTCCATTTCTTTTTTTGGGATGTCATCCGAAACCCAATGACTTTCACTCCATGATTTTTCAAGATGGGCACGAGAAAGCACCACCAACCAGATCCACTTTGGGGTATCCCTCCGTTGTCGGAAACCTCGGCGATTGGACTCCTGGGACCCATATGCGAACCATGGTGCTGGTATATAAAAACCTACATGACTGGGTGATTTTGGACAAGGGCAAATGTTGGTATATAAATATTCCAGCAAAATGGGTTGCATATGGGTTTATCAAGACTAAGTACATAATAAAAAAAAAAATAATAATAAATTATTATTATTATTATAAATATATATATAAGTAATATCTCCCTAGCTCCTTCAAAAAGAGACCGATATTGCCTGAGTGATGTCCCTCTCACAACGATGACAAATCTTGGGAGGATCAACCACCGGATAGAGATTAATTTACTACTTTACCCCCTTGGTAATTTCATATCGCCAATGAAGATCACGGTGTGTTAAACGGTACATCCTCTTTTTCATCCTCTTTTTCATGGGCATCCATTTTCTATAGCAAACAGTGAAATTACCAGAGGGTATGTGAGCCTTACCAACTGAAACACTGCAGGGTCTAAGACTGGCGCTTCCAAGACAGCTTCCCCTGGTTGCCGGGGTTTTCAGAGATATAGATGAATACAATATGATGAACCAGCCAACAGAAACATTTGAGGCTTGCTAAACATCCGAAAAAAAAATGAAACTCTTCGAGATGGGATTTACATGCGTACCGTAGGGAGCAAATTGAACTTAGTAGTTGCATGATGTTGCATGTTTTCCGGGGCAGGTTACCTTTCTTCACCTTGCCGTTCCATCCCCTGTTCCGTCGTCAGGGGGTTCCCACGCCGTCGCCAGGCATGGTGACCTGCATCTTGTGTGTGGTCTCGTGCGGCTTCGGCTGCTCCTGTGGCCTTTTCGTCATCGCCGTGGTGTGGCTCTACATGCGGCCTCTGTCCGGGCCCCAAAAGGCCCAGGGCGCCGTTTAAGCGCCGGAGATATGGTGGCTGTGTTGTGGCTGTGACATGGAGTAACCATGAGTAACCTCCCCAAATAGCTATTTCATGTTATTTTCATGTTATTTTCATGTTTTTTTCATGTTCATATCTTTTAATAGGGAACAGTGACGATAAAACGCTGGATTTTGGGGCAACTACCATATTCGCAGGAAAACCCCTTTGTTGGAGGAGTGTTTGAATGCTTCAGCTGAAACCACCAATTAATTCGACAATGTTTAACTGAGTGGGATTCAAAAATGGTGATGTGATGATCCCACTTGAAACTACCAACCAGTTTTGGTTTTTGATTGGGGTATTGTTTTTTCCTTGAATGCCAATCGTGGGGCCGCCAGCTAGCTGAAGTCGACGCAAGCCAAATATGGATATATTTTTGTTAACATACGTATACAATGTCTTGCCATCTACTGTGCTGTATTGGAACTTGACATACGTACTCTAATGTGATCATTGCGTAATGTCATGCTAGGCTTAAACAAATGACGTTACATTCGTGTTTGTTCGTCGCTGTTGATCCACATTTATCTACGGCGACCCCGCCGAGGATTGGCGGTGGGCTCATGCTCTTCTGTGCAGCTCTGGCAGCTGGAGCGTACTTTCTGGGCCAGGGCAGCAAAAATAAGGCGGGCAGCGGCGCCGTTGCCGCCGTTGCCGCCGTTGCGCGGGCTCCGACATGGGTTTGTGTTGGGAAAATCTAGGGGGAAACCGTGGAAAACCCTCCAAATCCCATGCATAGTGGCCTCGCCGGATGTCACCGTCTGTTTGGTTTGAACAGGATCGCGGGTAACCAATGTAACCAGGAAACCATGGAACCATCCACGGTGAAGCCATCACCTGTTGGGATTACAGCAACTGTTGGGATTCTGCTGTGCCATCTCCCATTTCAACTCATCTACCCTCCAGTAGACTAAGATAGCTATTGAAATTGCCTATTTATAGTTGATTTACCTATAAAAATGGTAAGTTTCCATAGCTTTTTGTATGTTTATCAGCGGGTATCCCATAGGGCTGAGCTTGAACCATCACCAGTCTTGCCGCAGAGGATTCGAGAAATTTGGTCTCCGAACTGGTGCCAATGACTGAGGGTAACAATCCAGCTTGAAAACAGCGGAGTCTAAGTCGCGATGGCTGAATTTGATTTTTGGCGATGGGTCAAGATTGTGTGAGATGCGATGTCTTAAGTTTTTAAGGGATGTTGGTTTTGTGTTTTTTTTTTCCGGGACATCTTCGTCATAGTTTGGCGTCAAAGCGTTTTTGGTCGGTGTGCGCAATCAATTTTGATCCACGCCCCCAACTTTCACTTGTGTTCTTGTTCTGGTGACAAAGTGCCCGCTCACGGACCTTGGCTCTGACGAAGAAGATGGGCTGTTGCTTGAAGTCCCGCACTTGAGCATGTCCAGATCCAGACAATAAATGCGTTGGAGTAAAGAAAAAATAAGAAAGACATAGTGACATAGTGGGTTTGTTTCCATGAATTACTTGATCAGATTGTGAATATTAGATCATTAATCCATCAATCATCAATCCATAATAATAAATATATAATAATTACATATAATTACATGTTTCCTACAGGAAGCTGTGGGATTTGGCATAGGTCTCCAGATTGTGAAATAGGGGTCGTGCTCAGCACGACTTCCACAAACGTTTAATTGATTTCTTGGCTTCAAGTGGAAGTTGTAGTATATAATATGTTGTTAAAGATTGAGGGTGGGACTCTGTAAATATATGTCAATATTACATTAGACTATATACTAGTATTAGATCATTCTCATTTGGTAATCAAATATGGCAACGGAAACTCCCATATGCAACATATGAGAGTTTCCTGCAAATGGGGATATCCCAAAAGTGATGGTTTCTAACATCCCATTAAAATTGATGATTTGGGGGTACCCCCCATTTCAGGAAACCTCCATATGTTCTGCGGTGGATTCCCATTGTCATGTTTGATTACCCGAGGGTAAAATTCCCATTTGTCGATGGTAAAGACTGGATTTCTATGATTAGAGATTTTCCCCGATCGATGATTATCCCCTGTAGTGCTCCCTATACTATCACATATCCCATACATTCTCCTTATTATCATATATGTTTGTATGGGGTTTCCTACAATGGGGGACACCCCCAAATCATCCCAGTCATTAGTTAAACTAGACCATTGTATGATCGAAATCTATGGTTTCAGGGTATCCCCATTCTAGCATACATTTGGTTGGTGGTTTGGAACATGAGTTTTATGACTTTCCATTCAGTTGGGAATGGAAAATCATCCCAACTGACGAACTCCATCATTTTTCAGAGGGGTAGGTCAACCACCAACCAGATTATCATTAACCATTTAATAGCCATATATTAACCATATGTTAACAGTATATATTCCATAGTAATGGATCATTAACCATATGCCATATATATTCCTTCAAGGGCTACGATAGGGGGAGAGCGAGGGCCGCCATGGTCCGAACGGCCCACCTTGGCTTTGAGCTGCCAATGTGCAAGGATCAAAACCGACGGCCTGGGCGGAGGAACGAAAAAAGCGAAAACGTGGTGATCATTTCCTGTGGATGGTTGCGAAATTTTACAGCTGATACAATGTGGTACCCTCTGGTAAACTAACAGTTTGCTATTGAAAATGGCCATAGAAATAGTGGATTTTCCCAGCTAGAAAATGGGTGGATTTTCCATAGTTATGTTAGTTTACCGGAGGGTACCCCCCAGTTATAAGTCCTACTTATTGTAGTTATAAACCAACTTAGCTATCGAACTGGGGCACCACTATGTAGGTGCTTTGTCTCATTATTTGGATTTCAACCATCGGGATTCCGTCATGAAACACTGTAAATCATGGGATTTTCATGGGATAAACCGTCTACCAACTGGCGGTGCAAAACTTTCTTCCACGGTAACTGACAGTATCAGTGGTTCATTCCTGTTGATTTTTTTTTTGGTACTTGTATTTATAGTCCTCTTAGGAATATCCTCTATAGAATGCAGGGGACATCCATCGGATGAGCAGTTGTTTATACGCATTTTATCTCTCATTTTTTTGGGCTCGAGTGAGCCCCCCATTTTATAGAGATTTTGGGGGGTGTCAGATCAGCACCTTATATATAGTGATGTTAACCTGGGGTGACAGTCATGTCCAATGTCATGGGTTCCCATCCTATAGAGACCATATACTCTGGAAAACCGCAATTTCCAATATCATAGGTTCCAGTTTTACCGAGAGAGTGGGGAGAGAGGAGTGCAAGGAAGGATCAGGAGATAATTTCAAAATCAGTGTTTTTCAGAGTATATCATTTCTATATCATTTCAAAACAGTCCATACATTGGTGCCATGAGGGCCTCCATTCTGTAGTTAGTTTTGGGCAAGTTTATGAAAATAAAGATAGGCTCGATGGTATCTCATGGGCTGTCCCACCTCCTCCCGCCCCCGCCGCCTCCTCCCGCGGGACCTGAACAGCAAGCCCAGGATCGCAGTGTTCCCCGCCGGACCTCAACCACAAAGAGATGCCAGGAAGAATGCCAGAATGAATGGTTGAAACGATGCCAGATAGAATGCCAGGTTAGATGCCAGAGAGAATGTCAAAACATATGCCAGAAAGAATGCCAGAATGAATGGTTGAAACGATGCCAGATAGAATGCCTGAAAAGATGCCAGAAAGAATGTCAAAACATATGCCAGAAAGAATACCAAGAATGAATGGTTGAAACGATGCCAGATAGAATGCCTGAAAAGATGCCAGAGAGAATGTCAAAACATATGCCAGAATGAATGGTTGAAACGATGCCAGATAGAATGCCAGGTTAGATGCCAGAGAGAATGTCAAAACATATGCCAGAAAGAATGCCAGAATGAATGGTTGAAACGATGCCAGATAGAATGAATGCCTGAAAAGATGCCAGAGAGAATGTCAAAACATATGCCAGAAAGAATGCCAGAATGAATGGTTGAAACGATGCCTGATAGAATGCCTGAAAAGATGCCAGAGAGAATGTCAGAACATATGCCAGAAAGAATGCCAGAATGAATGGCTGAAACGATGCCAGATAGAATGCCTGAAAAGATGCCAGAGAGAATGTCAAAACATATGCCAGAAAGAATGCAAGAGAGAATGTCAACGACGACATTCTCCCCAACATGCCTTGCCAAGCTACAGAAAGAAAAAAAACAAGGGAAAGAGAGCCAGAGAAAAGGCAAGGTTACACGAAAATGCAGAGAATGCAAGATCTGAAGATATAAGATCTGCAATTATAAGATCTGAAGATGTAAGATCTGCAAATATACAAGTTGATAGAATTTTGTGTGATAGAAAAGAATTATATGTAAGATCTGTGTATGAATGTGTATGAAAGAATTATGTGTGAAGGAATTGTACGTGATAGGTTGTATGTAAAAAAATATATGAAATTAAATTAGCTATAAAAGGGTAATACAAAATAAAATTAAATATTATTGAATTTAATAATTAATAAATTATTACGAAAATTATATTATTTGAAAAATAATAAAAATATATATAATAAATATATTTAACATTAAAAAATAAATAAAGATTATATAAATTGAAATTTATATATTTAAATATATATTATATAATTTATCGATAAAATTTTAATAATATTAAATATATATTGGATAATTATTAAATTATAGAAATTAATAAATATTATTAAATATAAATAATATTTTAAAAAAAAATATTTCTAAATTTATTATATATTATTATTATTATATAAATATAAAATAGCATTTTTTTTGAAATATATATATATAATTTTATAAAATTAGAAATTTTAAAATTATATATATAAATTCGAAACATATTAATTATAAATTATTTTATTATATTAAATATAAATAATTTTATTATTATAGATATATTATTATATAAAACGGAACTGCTGTCGAAAAAGTGGGCGCCCCTGTTGGAAACCCGCCAATTGTAGCCGGAATTGACCTAATATATAATATAATTATGCTAAAAGTCCCAAATTTTCCGGAAATTTCGGCCAATACTCCGAATTTTTCCGGAAATTTGGCGATTTTGGATTTCTAAAACTGGCAAATTTTCCGGAAAATTGTTGGTTCCGGATTTCGACGGAATCGCGAAATTTTCCCGAAAATTGGTGCTTTTGGCACAAGCCTTACGCATTGGGGTTTTATTTCTGGCTGCTGCATTGAGGCTCACAGTTGACACTTAGCGTCCTTCTTTAGCTATAGTATTGGAACTTAACAGCATTGTTATAATTTGGCCTTCTTTAGCTATAGTATTGGAACTGAACAGCATTGTTACAATTTAGCAACATATAACAAACATCGCGGTTTTCCAAAACATCGTCGTTTTTTCACGGAACATCGTTTCTTTTTGAACAATTTCTTGGATCTGGTAGTATTTGCCGTAGCTCCTCCGGTGTGATCGCGCCTTCGGTCCCTTCGTCATTATCTCAGACAGGAACTGGGATCTTTGCAGTAAAAGGACTGAAAGGTCCTTCAAGGTGAATGCACTACCATTTCAAGCTTTGTTCGAGAATAAATAGAGACTTTGGATTTGATTCACACTTGCACTACAAAGACTTCAGTCATTGTAAGACAGCCGTACCAGCTTGGTGAGGTTGTTCCCATCCACCCCTGAAGGAAGTCCCAGAGGGCGATTGGAA